GATTTACCTCAATCATCCATTTGGCATACTTTGCATAATTTACATGATGGTTCATGTCCAAATCACATCTCTTTGGCTGCAAATTAAAAAAAAAAAATGTGAAAATAAAGCTAGGGAATATTTATAATACTATTGACTGTGAATATTATTTTGATCAGACCTTTAACTCTATGTTAAATTTGCATGCATTGCCATTCAATTTTCTGATTTCAGTATAGCTTTCTTCGACTGCTTGCTTGTCGGTGAACCACTGTGTTAGCTCCTCCCTCGCGTCTTCTGGCATTTTCGAGAGGCGCCTCGTGTACTTGTTCATCATCACAAACGTGCTTTTCGGAAAATTTAAACAGTTTTAGATTTCAAAAAGAAAAAAAGAAAGAAAGAAAAGAAAAATGGAGGCTGAAAAAACTCGTACCTAGTTGCACGCACGAGTATGATGCCGGTGGCTTTACTCTTGAGTAGCCAATCTCGTGACATCCCATGTTTGCCTGATGCCCCGACCCATGTGTCGATTTCTATGACTTCACCCCTGTCGATAATTATTTTTTTTATTGTTTTTTTATTTATTTTTTTTTTATGGATGATTTGGAACACTAGCTCTTCATATAGATGATGTTTTTGATGCATTTGTGTAAAGCGTGACATCATTANTTTCTCTACCATATTGGGTAATGATCAATTTGAACTATCATTCTTGAAATAACCCAAATGAGACCATGTTTCACCATTCCATGATTTGTACCATATTCCTTCATTTGCCCTGAATTCCACGCATGATTCAATGCTGTTTCCTGTCAAAAATAAATTAATAAATAAACAATTAATGATAACAATATAAGAAATTTGAAATCTGCATGGTTAAATAGTACAAAAGGCATAAATGATTGATAAATAAATTATGACAGCATTCAACTTTTTTCTTTTTATCTTACCTGAAATAAATTAAGAAGGCTTTCTAATGTCATGGTTTGATCAGGGCCAACTTCATTAGACCTCACTACAATAGTTTGTCTGTATTCAACTCCCCCATCGACAAACATTCCGAGTCGGTAAGGATCGCTTAACTGCCTCTTCTTTGGGATATTTTGTCGAATTTGTTTGTCGAGTGGACGTGCATTATCGACAATGGGGTTTGCTAAAGAAAACGCTTTGTCGTGATCTTGGCTTAAAATCCCCATCTTCAAACTTTTCGTCGCTCCGACTCCGGTACAGTGAAGTTCGTGCTTGTCTTTTGTTTGGCTCGAACGTTGGAACAAGAAAGATGATTGGCAAGAAAATGCAGACATTTTTATTATTATTATTATTATTTATTTTCTTTTGTTTAGTTTTGAGTAAATGGGAGGATCCTGTTGAAACATGGCTAAGCATTTCAGCTTATTCATTATATATAGAGCTCCCAACTTGTACATGTGAAGAGGGAAAGGGCTTTTTTCTTAATTTGGATGTTTCAAAGGGGTTTAAGTGCCAAAATTTGTCTTTTAGTTGACATAATATTTAATGATGTGGTCCAATTTCTCTAAAATTTTGCATTTACAGGCATCAAGTTTCTAAAAATTGCATAGTTAGTGATTGGGTTAAAGCGTCAATTGGTGTTATTGTGTATAATTGTGTATTTACTGAATTAGCCCTATGTTATCTTTAGGTAACTCTAGACCTAATTTTGTGTAAACATTCTCTGTTAATAGGGAGTTGTATCATACGATTGAGATGATCTTTACTACAGACTTCATCACGTCTCTCTCGTAACATGGTATCAAAGCGTGATTTTTTTGTCCAATCTAACCCCTAATCTCGATTGAATCTGTTCGGCTTAATTATCCCGTATCTGAGGCTTTGTGAAGCTACTTCGTCATGGCTGATTCTTCAACATTTTATTTCGGCACTTGTGGTAGCAGTGGTGGTGTTGGTCCGAAAAACCATCTCACCTTATGATATCATGTCTTTTGACAATCCGGGCAATCTAAGCACTCAGGTATTGCTTGAGGATGACTCCAACTACGAAAAAGGAGCACCGAGTCTTCGGATTGCTCTTCGGGCCCGGAAGAAGTTCGATTTCCTCAATGGCTTAATATCAATTCCATCCACCGATTCTGAGTTGCTCGAAGATTGGTGGGCCAACAATGATTTGTTGGTCTCGTGGTTGATGGATTCTATTGATCCCAATGTTCGCTCTTCCATTACTCAACATGAATATGTCAAAGGTATTTGGTTTTCTTTTAAGGAGGGATTCTCTACTCGTAATGGCCTGAGAATTCAATAGTTGAAATCCGATCTTGCAAATTGTAAATATGAAGGTTTTTCAATTGAACATTATTATGGAAAAATCACAAACATTTAGGAGGAGCTCTCTGTTTTTGAGAAGCCGTCAGTTTGTCGTCGTGGGAAGTCCGAGTGCAATTTGCAGAAGGTTTGGGATCGTATGCGTGAGAATGAATGTGCACATCAATTTTTTAAGGGGATCGATTCGGCTTTGTATGGGGTACCACAGTCCATATCTTTGCCCAAGAACCGCTACCATCTTTTAATCACGTTTACTCTATGATAATTCAAGAAAAACGCATGCACATCATCTGCGGCGAGCATGGCCGGGACAACTGCTTAAGTCACCGCGCTGCAGGGAGGATCGGTCGGGTCAGACGCGGCAGCTGGTAGCGCGAACTTATCGACCAGCGCGCTGGTGGTCATCCTAAGTGTTCTCATTGTGGTCGAATGGGATATTTGTGCCGCGACATGCTTCGAGATTATTGGATACCCGGAATGGTTTGGATTTGGTGATGGTCGCAGTCGTACTTCTAGTGGTGGCCGTTGTGGTGGAGCTTGCGGCAAGGGTGATTCTCGTGCAAATGCGGCCATCTCCAATGACATTGGTAATTCCTTTTTTGACTGTTGTGTTGGTTCTTCCACTGTTAGTGGCGCTTTGAGTGATTCTGATAGTCTTGCACTTAGCGGTTTAACCAATGACCAATGGGCTCACATTGTGTCTTTGCTTAATTTCGCTAAACAGGATACTCACTTGTTTGGTAAGAATTGCTTATTTGATTGGATGTACGATTGTAGGGCTACTCATTATATGCCAGAGTTCATGGATTTTATTTTCGATGTTCGGGATATGCCCGTTCGTCCTGTTCAATTGTCTAATGGTTCTTTTACTATGGCTAGCAAGGCTAGGACTATTTGGGGTCTTATGTCAATCTTTATGATGTTTTATATATTCCCAGTCTTCTGTATAGCTTGATTTCATTATATTAATTGTTGGATCTTTCCGACTGCACCGCCTAGTTTACTAACAATTTTTGTGAATTCAGGACCGCACTTCGAGGATGGTGATTAGCGCGGGTGAACCGTTGGGGGTTCTCTACTTTTTTTGAGTGACGGTTTTTTTCGGCAGTTTCTTGTGTTTGGAAGGTTTTTGTCGACGTGTGACATCAACGTCTGGGTCATCCGTCTACTCAAGTATTGTCGCAACTTCCTGTTATTGATTTAAGTTCTCGTAGTTTGAATAAATTTTGGGATGCTTGTTTTCGTCCTAAACAACATCGTCGTAGTTCTCCTCTAAGTCAGACTATTAGTCATGAGATTTTTCATTTGGTTCATTGTGATTTATGAGGTTCGTATCGTGTTTCGTCATTTTGTGGTGCACGGTATTTTTTTACTGTTGTGGATGATTGTTCTCTGGGACATGGATTTGTTTATTACATGATAAGATAGAAGATGTTTTTACATTGTGTATTCACTGTATTAGCCTTAGGCTATATTTAGATAATTGTAGCCTTAATTTCGTATATATATTCTTGGTTATTCTTTAGGTGTGCGTTGTTTTATTCGTTATTTTTAGTGTTCGTATTGTTTAGTCCAACTACGTCTGGTTTTTNTATTTTTTTTTTGGCCGGAACGATAGAGGATCTATATAAACCAAAAAACACGCAACAGCGCGAATAAAAATACAAAGTTCCCAACGGGAAAAGAAAAAGCAACCAAAAGTTGAATAACATGGGAGGACAGGTCTGACGACCGCCTAGAATCCCGACTCTAGCAACGCTAGAAACCTAAAACAAGACTCGAAGACACCCAACACAACAACAAACAAAGAAAACTACAAAGATCCCACCAGGATAATACCCGAGTGTCTGATCCCAACAGAATAATAAATGTGACACTCGGGCTCACAGGGCCAAAGGCCAAACCAAAAACACATGAAACTAAAGCAACACAAACACTTACAACCAACCAGCCTAAAACTAGACAACGAAACATAAAAAACATACAATTAAGGTTTAGTCTTCTTTATGGAGTTTATGTTTTGCGAGTGTTTGTTTCTTCTTTGTGGAGTTTGTACCCTTGGTCACATGTATGATTTCAAGGGGTTGGTCCAGACTTTCTTCTGGTTCCAGTAGTATCATTTGACACTTCGATTGTACTTTTTTGAATTTTAAGTTTTTAATATAAATGTCGTTTGAACAAAAAAAAAATATAGAATTGTATCATTTGATTGAGATGATCTTCACTGCAAACTTCATCTCGTGTCTCTCGTAATGATTGGACAAAAACAAAAAATTTTAATGTGCCCAATTGGATTTGACAAACTTACATTAATTTTTTAGATTTCGAAAATGCTAAGAAATAAAGATTGAGCATAAAATGTCAAAAAAAAAAGGAAAAATTAAGCAAAAGTTACCAACTAACAAATTCAGAAATTAGGGTGTTCTTTATGGGCCTCTTTCAGGAAAAACTAATTTGTATTGCAACTTGTAAAAATTAATGCGTAAAATTCTGGTCAGGCAGCATAACAAAATAAAACTCAAGATTTTCATAGATTTTGCGTCTTTAATTGATCTATACAACGGTTAGGCCGAATTCAACATGGCCTACATCTTTGATCTTAAATTCTCTCTACAAAAGTTAGGCCAAATATAACATGACCTACACCTCTAACATTATGGGATAACATCCATTCTTTGTTACATTGGGGAAAGTAAGTTAGAATATCGTAACACTTATCACATGATTGGTATATTGAAATAAAATCTGATAGGAATTGAATGAGTTGAAGAATAGAATGAATATGAGAAAGAAATGAAACAAGTTTTTCTATTGATGCGTTTGGTATACAAAAGGAATAAGATCTGAACGGAATGACATCTCCTCTATATATAATTTCAGAATGTGTTGATCCTACGTGGCAAACTCTCATGCTTCGAAATCCTATTTGGCAAAAAATTATGCTTTGGAGTTAGGCTTGTATATAAATTAATATTTTTTATCACATTAAATCCATGATCGATTTTTTCCTTCTTAGTTACCATAAATAATTTTATGTTTCATTTTCCTACATTACCATACATCACATTTCATTTTCTTATATAATTCATTCATTAGTTTTTATAAATATTTCTTCTTCTTATTTTAAGATTTTATAACTTTTTTGTTTGTATTTTATTTTTCATATAGGATATATCAAATTCACTATCTTTTAACGATTTTTCATTTGACATACATATTATATATATATATATATATACATAATTTAATTTAGTTTGATAAATGAATTTAAATTTTATTTATAAAGATATATATTATTGTTTTTTATTTTACATATATCAAATAACTATAAATTATATCACTATATTATTTATATTTATTTAAGATATATATTCTTGTACTTATGTAATAGTAAATAATATCGATATTTTTATATGATATAAATAAAAAAATTAAACACGAGTTGACATTTTCATTTAATGTACGGGTATCTAATTATTATGATTAAAAAAATATAATTTCACAATTTAATTGAAACCCAAAGTAATGTTTTATATAAAACTAAATTATTTTAGTTTCTTAAAAAAATAAAAAAATTTATATTTTTTACAAAAGATTTCTAATTCAACACGGGTATTGTACTAGTTATCATTATATATTATTATTTATCACTATTTTATAGAATATTTATATTAATGTTATTTTTTTATTTATGATAATAATAAAATTATTTTATTTCTTAAAAATACTATATTTTAATAAATATATTTTTATATTGTTACACTCATATATATTATGTAATAAATTAATGAATTGTGTATTCATATACCTATTACGTAATACAAATATATCATTACATAAACCTCAATAAGCATATGTAGTCGAATATAATTTTTTATATTATGGTTCAATTTACGAATAAATATATAATATATATGATGTATAAAAATAAAATAATACCTTTTAAAATTATTTATAAATGAATTTTTTTTAGTTTTATTTTTATATAAAAGTTTAATATATCTTATTAAAATATGGACAATAAATATTAATAAGTTTTTAATTTATTTTTTAAAATAATTTTATTTAATATAATTTAATCATGAATTATGGTATATATTATATATTTATTTTTTATCAGTATATTTAATTTTATTTTTTAAAAAATGATTCCGGTAAATATGGGAATGAGAAAACTTTGCATTTGCAGTGGAATGGCTAATCCCAATTTTGCACTTCCCATTGGAATGACCATTCATTTCAAGAAAATTTACCAATCATGAGATAAAGAATGAGTAAGAGAATGACAATTTTATTCTCATCTCATTCTCTCATGCGAATCATGCCATTAATGAAAATGATAGTTAATAAAATTTAATGATAGGTTGCTTGAAACGTGTAGAAGCGTTTATATTGAGACCGTCATCTTAATTTATTTATCTTAAACTAACTAGTACCCACCCGTGTGATATACGAGATAGCAATATTTAAATTAACTTTATTATAATTATGATGCATCAAAAATATTAGATTACTTTTATAAAAATATATATCATTTTAATATGAAAATTAGTTTCATAAATTAAGTATTGGGCAACATGGAAAGGGTTTATTCGTGTGTGTATGTGTATATATAGACGTGCGCTCAAATGAAAATGAAGCACACTGAATGAATGAAAGAAATAAGAATAAATTTGGATCATTGGATACATCTTATGAATGATCAAGATGAAGTCAAAGGTTAGTAATTACAGTCAAACTCACAATTGCAATTTTGTAATTAAACATTAATTTATTGGTCAATAATATACCTATGGGGTAGTGTTGTAATTTTCACATACCTACCAACCCTAACATTTCTATCACATAACACATACTACACTCACGCACACACTCTGCGCATGCGCGCGCGCACACACACACACACAGAGAAAGAAGAACAGCCCCCTCCCGCCTCCGCCGGCTTCCGCCTTACCTCCGCCGCCAACCGCCAACCACGACGCAGGAAACTTTGGCCGTGCATCCGCCGCCTGCCACCAACCACGACGCAGGAAACTTTGGTCGTGCATCCGCCGACCAACCGCGACGCAGGAGACGATGGATGTGCCTCCGACCTTAACAGTTATGCCGCCCGACCATCGAATCGTCGCCGTCGGACTGACCTTCAAAGAGACGCCGACTGACCGTTCAAGCTCCGCTGCCCGTCCATCAAAGCACCACACCACGAGCGTCGCTGGTCTCACATCGCCGTCGAGGCCAACCACGCATTCGCCACAGCCCGCCACCACCGCTTCCAACAGACCCGCCACCACCGTCGGATCTTGTCGCCGCCACCAGATCCATCCCGTATATCGGAGAAACACCGCGGCTTCGAGACCTGAAAATCACTCTTTGAATTCCGTTTGGCAAGTAGACGTTCACGGAGAGGGACTCCATGACGGCGAGCGAGACTGGCGGGAGAGAAGAAGGCGGCGGCGGTGCCATCCGGAAGAGACCGCCGGGATGTGCAGGGTGCACGTTCTGTTTTCAGCTTTTGATATTTGAGTTGTGGTTATAGTTTTGGAAATTAGACAAATTCAAGGGACCTATTTGCAATTTTTGAATTTTGATATGTTGTTGCACATGTAATCGGTAATCGTGATGGGTATCTGCACAATAACTTCACGTAAAATGCACAATATTGCATTAGAATATGCATATTTATTTATTTTTTTATATTATTAATTAATTACATAAATATGATCATTTACACATTTAAAAGTTTGCAATTTTATCAAAATGTAACCGTGCTTAGAGTTTTATATTAGTATTTGTTGAAAATAATAATATTAACAATAAATTAAATATACATTAATACATATGAAAATGTTTAATTAGGTAGAATATATTTTTTTTATTCTTTCACTTGGGTGCGTGCGCGAAATATACGTTATTGTGCATTCTTAGGAATATTAATGTGCACCGTATAAAACAGAATTGTGCATTCTGTAGTATTTGTATTTTTCAGTTTGCATATCCATATGGAATAATATTTTTTTATTTTATGATTATTGTTTATTATTAAATTTTCAATAAATTATAGATTTACCCTATGTCCTAAATTGCAATATAACTAAAAAATTTAAAGTTGCATCGAAGTCCTTAACATTTGTTCAATTCTCATAAGGAAGCCCACACATCTGAAATGTTACTGTGCACATTCCATCCCAGACATCGTCCCATCTCGCCGTCGCCAGAAACCAGATCCCTATGGTCGTGCACTGCTGCCGTCCAATTCATCATCTCCGACGACAGAAATCGACCAGCTTCCGACTGCCTTGTCGAACTCCGAGTTTCAGGCCCGGCAACGGGCGATGATATGGCGAAGATGGGCGGCGCTATGGTCACATCAGTGGACTCCGGCGGCATCGGATGACGGTCCTCCTTCAGTGGACTCCAATGGCTCCTGTTGCATGGTAGGATTAATTAAGGTAGCAACTGTATAATGACTTCTAACAAATACCAAAAATGCACGAAATATAAATATTTTTTGAAAAATTAAGATGCATAACTTGAAAAAACAAAATACATACATTCAAGGTCATTAACAATAAATTAAAATTCAAGACTTGAAATTGACAAAGAGCACACACTAAAGTCCCCATTGGCATTTTGGACGATGGAGGCGTTATTTTAATTTATTTTATTTTATTTTTTCTAAATGATAGACTTCATATTAATAACACAAATATTTACAAATTAGAATAACCAGACCAGTCAAATCCATCAACTACTTCGTTAAATCTAGAAAGAGGTCTACTATAAAGTAGCATAGAAAGTTGACAACACAAACACAACAAAACTAAAAAAGAAAAAACTAAAAAAACTAAAATACTTCTAACAAGTGAATACTATAAACTCCAACATGGAGAATAAAAACACTTACAACACTTCTTCCTCTAGCTAAACCAACCCACTACTAAGACCACGTCCTAAGACGTCAACAATTGTCTCTCAAAAGGCTATCATCAACAACTCAAAAGCAACCGCCAACACACAATGAGGTCAACCAGCCCCCAAACGATGAATGAGCAACATAGTTGAACCCAACAAACGCAAAAACTTCAAATTCACTTGAACGACGAGACAAATCTGTAAAAATAGCTTAGATCTGACCCTTAAAGACATCAATGGTCATTCGGAGAACTGCATCATAGGGACGTCGATCTCGACCGACCACCAGGAAGGATCCCCATGTCGACCCCTCAAGATGTCAACGGAAGCCAAGTGGCTTGCCGAAAAAGAAAAGGAGAAGGGGCTAAACTCTTCTCTGTTTTTTTTTTCCCCAGTTTGAGACAGTGTGAAATAGAGAGGCGAAAGTTTTTTAATTTTTTCTTTTTTTTTATGATTAAGGCGTTAAGAAATTCTTTTTTTTTAGAAAAATAAAAAAAAATGTTAATATTCGAACTTGAGTTACAACATATAACAACTCAAAATTTAAATTATCAAATAACGATTATGGACAATGAAAAGGGCAACAAAACAAGAGCACACCCATCAATTTTGAACACTTGAATTGTCGAAAATCGCACTTAAAAATTGCAGTCTATCCAATATAACTTTATGATATGTTTTTTTATCGAATATACTAAAAAACATAAACAATTGATAAACGTCTTGTATATTAACCCAATATTTGTAGCATTCTGATTATATAACTTACATATTATTTTGATAAACGATATCTACTTTAATTATATTTTGGTACTAAAAGTAATCTAAAATAATGAATACAAAAAATGGAATATTTCAATATGGAGTAAAATACATCGCGACTTAGGGACGAAACTTAGGGCATCCACATCCCTTTAACACAAATATCATTCATTCAATCAAAAAGTAACATCCTCTCTCATCCACATCATCTTTCCACTAAATCTCTCTCCATTTAAACACACACTCACATTACTACACATTCATTTAAATACATATATGGGACCCATTATCCACTCATTCAATATAAATTTTTATACTCTATTCTCAATAAAAATAAAATTTCATATTATTAAATTATAATAATAAATTTTAAATGCATGAAAATAAAAGAACACAACAAGACCAAAATAACTTAAATTAAGATTACACAAGAAAAAAATATTACAATTACAAAAAATATTTTTTTAGTTGTTGACAAAATGAGTCCAAATATGCTCAACTAAATTGACACGAAGTTGATGATGCATTGTGTTATCTTGTATCTCTGAATTTATCTATATTGGGAAGTGTGATATAGATAAAAAAACAGATTAAATATAAAAATAAAAAGAAAAAATAGTGAATAAATAATTTTTTTAAAACAAAAAAAAAGAAAAGAAAAAAAGAAAGCATGTGTGGAATAAATAATGATTTTAAAACAAAAAAAACAAAAAGAAAAAACATGCTGAGGCGTTCAATGGATTGAACGAATAAGCGGGGCCCCTCTTTTAATGGATGAGCCACATCCATGCTTAACAAAGGGAGGCGTTTAAACGGCAAAGAAGAACTCCGCGTTGCGGATGCCCTTAAAGAAGAACTCCGCGTTGCGGATGCCCTTAATTTTGTTCACACGACTCTGAAGTAAAATAAATTCTACCCTCCCGTAGAGAATATGGGTTTGAGATGAACTCACTCACTGTACGCACACAAGCTCAACGAAAATGAAAACACGGGAGAAGCTATCATTTTTTCATGCAGTCACACTTCTTATATACTCATAGGGAAAACTTACAAACCACAGAGAATAGAGGAATAAGTAAATGAATATAAAAATGATGGAAAGGGAACTGAATCGATTCAGGCAATATTTGATCTTTTATCACAAAACTGTGGCGTCTAAAAATGTCTCTTACTTGGGAAATCTCTCTTCTTTGAATTACCCAAATGCAAAATGTTAAAAGCACCTCAGTTGAACACCTAATATCATATACTCTGTAATTAACCTTCGCGATCCATTAGCTTAAGTAGGACTGCCTGTCAAAGGAAGAAAAAGAGAGAAGAAATAAATTCATTCTTGAAGTCGCGAAACCAAAAGGTTTAAAACGTGAGCGATAATCAGACCATATAAATAAATGCCACCAATAATTTGTGATTTTGTAGAGAGTGAACATGCAAATATAGTTTTTAATAGAGAGAGGAACAAACCGGACAACAGGGATTATTTTTCAACCCTTGATGTAGTTCGTGCCATGATATTAAAAGCTTCACTGGACGAAACTCGGAAGATTGGCCATGACCTCTGTTGTCCTCAAAGGCGACTAGTGCACGTGCCAAAAGATGCTCAAATGCCTAAAAATTTAGTAAAATATTCACTTTACTTGCATACGCTTGGAAGGATCCACCTATAGTTTTGATTAAGTATATACATACACACCCGTAAGCATACATTCCGTGCATAATAGTCGGAGGTTTGAAACGTATCATGTACGCTTTTGTACTCTGTGGATGAAGTATGATTTTTCAGATAGCGAACAGAAGAAAATAGGAAGAAAAAAAAAAAACAAATATACAGGCACCTTTCATTATAGAATTAAAGTTGCATAACTCCAGCTCTTTCACTTCCAGCCTTTTCATGCAAACCAAAATATAAAGTTCTAAAATGGAGCAATCTGCACAAACAAGTCAGGTTAGCAAATATTATAAGAAGGGAAAAATAGAAGTTTCTGTAGGTTTACAGTTTCTGCTTCTGAGAAGGCTTTTAGGTGAATGCCTGATGATTTTAAATCAGTTTGCAGTTATAATGATTTTCCCACACCTACTCAGGCTAGTCTTTTAGTAAAGGCAACTTCCAGTTTTATGACCAGTGTATGCTAGTAACACTATTTCAGTTACTCGGAAAATAACTTGCATGGAAACATGATGAAGAAAACCATACGCATATAGAATATCAGAAAGTGGAAAGAATGTCCGTTCTAAATAAAACACACATTTATTACCATTATAACTTATAAAACGTGTCTCATTGTTATAGGCTTATAGCTATGATAAAACCTAGTGATGATTTAAAATTCTCCGTAGTGATGATTTAAAACCTAGTGATGACTTATAACTTATAAGTACAAGCACACCTTTCAAAGCCTCAAGCTTCGGTTGCCTTTCTATTCTCCGTAGTGATGATTTAAAATTCTCCACTGATAGCAAACCAGAATTCGGATCTATTTGACAAACGGCTGAGAACCTGGTGGTGGTCCTCCAATGATGTCATTAAAAAGGAAGTAACAAGACAATTTAGATTCAATTTTGAAAACATGTCGAGTTTTTACACTTACAGAAATCTCAATAGATGGCCAACCGTCGAATCAGAATAACTTAATGTATCAAGGATTTTCTTGAATTTTTCATCTGCTAGAATGTTCTGGAAAATGTCAAGGAACTCTAACCATTTGCATCAAATGTAGAAGATTTAGGAACCATACAGAAACTTGGTTTCATATGATGAGTTCTTGTTTAAAATTTGTCTCACAGTCATACGTAAAATGCGATTGGGGAAAAAACGAAAAGAAAAGAGAAAAAGAGTAGATGAGGTCCTTATAATTGTAAAACAAACAATCTTTTGAGACAGACAGATAGACATGACTTACAGACAAATATATGGGACTGCGCTTTCAAAAGGAAGTTTCAAGAGAAAATGATAGGCACAATAGTTTTCATTTGCCGATTAAGGCAATTAGATATGTGTGTGTCATGATGGGGATTTTTGTGGCCCTTATTCATCACTATTAGACTTTGCCTAATAGTCTAATACATTCAGCTGGGAGTAAATATGATCCTAAATCAAAGCTGCACCACTTAGTTTTTATTTTCGACCACTCTATCTGAATATAATTCAAGTTAATCAGCAGAGAGTTAACAAGATCATGACAGTCGCGGCATGGTATATACTTATAATTGTATTAAGACAATTATCAATAGGAACATTTAATAAGATCACCTTACTTCTTAGGAAGGACTAGAACCAGTCTCCTAAGTAATCCACTTCCTCCCTACTCAACTAAAAACTATTTAAGAGCACCTTAAACCTGATGTAATTTAATGGAGGTCCCTTTTTATTCTCGTTCAGATCCAGAAACGATGAAGCTAGGTAATAGAATGTTCAACCTCATAGCTGATTAAATGGCATGTATTTGCAATTACATATATGCTCAGAGTAAAATGCATTGGATCAGTGAATCCATTCCTAGAAAAAAGCAACTACACAGCAAACAGTATTTAATGATTTCAGGGAATGGATACAGAAAGTTCTGCATTAAAAGCAGTTGTGTAATCGTTTGGGAGCCCAGAATCTGTCGGCAATAGTAGAATGTGCTTAACAAGTCTGCACATTGATATCACTAGTCAAGATAATAAAACTATCAGGAAATAAACTAGTCCATAGAAAGCAAAAGGATAAAAGAATATACCTCAGCAAGTCATCACCTGAGGGAGGAAGAAACAACAACTTCCTATGTGAAAAACGAGATCTTACTCTCTTCTCCAAAAGCTGATCAGCGTCCTACAAACCACAAACTTCCTAACCACTTGATACAAATAGAATTTCTCAAAATTTAGTCATGATATGCATGCACACGAGGACACACAGCATCCCATATATCCAATAAAACTTGATAAAAGTGTTCTTGATGCTCGAATGCTAGTGTCAGTGTAATAATAAATTAAATTAGAGATAACTAATGAATGTTAGTTGAATGGGAAAGGCAAGTGGAACTAATCTGCACTCAGGAGTGGAGAAAGCATACCAATCGACAACTCACTCCAACTACAACAGCTTGTGATGTGATGGATTGCATTGCATCAAGCAAACTGTAAAGAAGTCGCTGTTTTCCCTGAAAAGATTAAGAAATGACATAAGCTGGAAGTCCCAAACTCCACCTCTCTTGCTCGAGATATTTTCTTCTCCGTCTGGTGGTATTACCTGTGTAAAAAGATCAAACTCATCCAGCACAAAAACAATTGTTTTATGTGCTAATCCACACTCCCTGTTGGAAATGAGCATACTATCAATTTTCTTTCCTTTTAAAAAAACAAAAGACAAAGGGAAGGTGCCAGGTTGTCATTGAACTTACCTCAACATGGACATCAAAAAGTGGGAGTTATCATCAAATGAAGCCTGACAAATTAAGAAAGGGAATCAAAATGATGAGATCAAATGGTATATAGCAACTAAAACCATTGCAACAAAATTACCATTTTAGAGAATTGCAATTGATGCTCCAGGCACAATTGCCTAGCTATCTCCTGCATGATAATTTAAGTAGGATATAGAAGTCAGAAACAAGTTGTAAATAGCACACATAACTTGAGTACCTAAAATAAATGACAAAGTCAACTACGCATGATGAACCAATGCTTTTCGGATAGAAATTGTACAGACATCAGAAGAGTGACAACCTGGCTTATCCATCTCCATCTAAATTCATACCAGATAACCAACAAGATATCAATATGGTAATTCTGGGCCAAAACTTCATGTTCTACAAATTTTAGGGTAGTTTAGGTAAGGCAAAAGTAACTTGTGTTTGAATATTTCCTGTTTTATATTATAAACATACTTTGCATTATATTGATCATTAACCTTTCCTGAGACGATCCCAGGACCTTCTCTGCGTCGCATTAGTAAGATTATGGCCTCATAAATACAACATAAAAAAAAGCTACAATTTCTATAGTTACATCGTCATCTGAACTAATCAAAGTGCTCAGTTACTCTGCAAAAGCTAGATATTGATGTAGTTTGCCTCTGCGTAATACGCAAGATAAGAAATGCATATGATCACTTCATAGCAAGGATGAAATGAGTGTAGGTATACCTTCAAGGCGCAATTGTTGTCACTATGGAGAAGCCCATTGAGTTTAATCTGACAACAAACAACAATATTAATCACTTCAAGATTCACATAAAGCTTTAACAAAACACTTCAAGATTCACATAAATCTTTAACATTTTCTGGTGGGAAAAAGGAAGCAATATATGTAACCAACTTACAATAAAAATTTCCAATCAGCATTTTTGGAAATAAAAAACATACCACGGTAACCATGTCTTGATACTCTTTTAGTAGCTCTTCAAGAACTAGCTCTAACACCTAACTATGACAAAGGGCTCAAATCACTTGACCATACATTCATTATCCCCAAAACAGCTTATCCAGTCATATAAACAGGACGAAACCATACATACCGCACTTTTCCCACATTCTCTAGGACCCAAAAGAAGAACCGAATTGTTACATGCCTCGGTTATTGAACTTGATATTATATACTTCAGTTTACTGCAAAATGAAAACGTGTGAATTAGAAGCTAGAATTCTCTTCACTTCTATCATCCACTGGAAATCTGTAAAGCAACATCAAGGGGCATAAACAATAGTCACGAATGAGAAAGTACTGCAAGAGACTAAAAAATAAAATTTAATAAAAAGACTGCTCCTTTCAGACCGAAACTAGTAATGAGAAAGTGAAGATGCTCGCCAAATCCACCCGTACAATCACGAATGAAATTAATCAGTTCATGTACTGCTGAACCAAAGTAAAATTGCGATAACGCACATAAAAACTCGATTCTCACCTCAGAAGATAAAGTAGAAAACGGGAAAAAGGCAATGAGGAACAGACCTGTAATTGGAGTCAGTAAATTGGGAGAAAAATGAGAAGACGAAAGAGGGATTGGTGAGCCTGTTCCTGAGAATGGTCATGGCTTGCTCTACTGGATTTTCATGGCCCATTTTTGCTTTCTTCTTCGATTTCTTTGCTGGGACTGTGACTGGAAAAGAGAGAGAGAGACGAATTAGGTAAATGAATAGAGACAATAATGGCGGGAAGTTGTGAAGGTAATGAAGCTATAGCCCGTCGACATTAAATGGTACGGTGCGAAATTTGATCCGACCCGTTTTAGAACTACTGCGGAAGTTAAAACGACACGGTTGGGTTATCTTCTTTTCGCGTAAATCCCCAAATCGACAAAACCCTTCTTCCTTAGCGCGCCTGCCTCCCTTCCGTCTGGTTCCTCCGACCACCGCGGACGGTGTTGCTCTCCTCTAGGGTGTCGGCATGATTCCTGTTTAGTCGCCTCTCCCCCTTTCCGGCGCGGCGCATCTCCACTTCGTTTTTTTTGAATTAATTAAACAATTTTACTACCCTGAGGGTTGGATTCTTTTTTATTTATTTTATTTTAGTGAACAAGGTTTGTTCTTGTTCATTGCTTATGTAGTAGACTCGTAGGTATATTTTGTTTTTATTTTTTATTTGTATTTTATTGAACATTGTGTCGTGGTACAAAATAAGGAGCAACTCTAGCGTCAAACGGATTTATGTTAGTCACAGTCAAGTAAAATTTGTTGGAAAGACCGGTAACTTCATTGTCTTCGGCCCCTGAGTCCCAACCCTTGTGTGAACCGAGATCTTCGAGTCACCCTCACGATGATTAGTATCATACTTCGGTTCGACTTCCTCTTGTTCTACCTCATTAGAATCCACACATTCAATTAGAAAGTTTTGACTCATTGTATCTATGACTGTTAACAAATTTTTCATTGCACTTCAAGCATAAACCTATCTCCCATCATCTATTTGCATCTCGTCCCATAACAATCGCCTAACTCAGACGGGTATAAATCCCGCGCTTACCGTCGACGATTCCTCTCTAATTTTTTCGCAAATCGTTAGGAAAATGGCCTGGTCGTCGAACTTCTGGTCGGCTGGCCTTTCGCACGGCTGTCAGGTGATCATCGCGCATACGAACGGCCTCCGTTATTGCACGCATGATCTTCGACCTTTCCAATTGCGCCTCGGCTGCCAAGTTGGGTTTTAGACCCCCGACAAAGGCCAATCATGAACATGTCTCACAATGTGTTTTCATTTTGTAAACCCCTAATAACCATTGTCACCATATGTTCATCAAGGTAGTAGGAGGCGAGTTTGCCCCTTTTCAATTTGGGTATTTCGTTGATGTGGAAATACTGATTGACGCGGCTCAGCCACGAATCCGGTTCCATTCCATTAAAGGTAGACAGGATTACTTTTGGTATTTCGCTCATGCGCCTCTCATGGTGGTTCGATCCCTTTGATCGGTTGTCTATCATCTGCAAAATTGTTCCAAAACTCCAATTCTTTTTTCGAGTCTGCGTACTCGTCTAAGGACGGATCAAAGTTTCCTCGTCACGATCGTCGGCCTACGCATTCGTTCGATCTGCGCCACGACCTAGTTCGTTGATTGTACGTCCTTATTGATGGAACACACATTCTCCTCTAATCAATCGATTCTCTCCCTGTTCGACATGATGATAAACGATCGATCTCCCAATGAAAACACCAATAATGAAGATCGTTTATCATATGGATAGGTTGAGATGACCCGCGGTGACGGTCATCGGTTATGCAAGAGATTTTGTGAATTCTTATTGCTTGAATCTTTCAACGATGAATACAAGAATTTTAATAAAAATAAATCCCAAAAATTGCAACTAGGTCATAAGGAATAATAAATTAACAAAAACAAAGTTAATAAATATTATTATTGTTGATCGATCTATTTTTCTAAGTCATGTCCACACATTATCCATATTTGTTGTTGTCCTAGATCTCAACTGCATGCGCACTGCATGTCCGTCTGCACGTCCTGGCTCCGGACTCCTGCTGCTCGGGTGTTGCGCGCATCGGTTACTGTTGTTTGAGCACCCAGTAATGCGTCTGCGGCTGGCCATTGCCCTCATATCCCGGTGGCTGGTTGTCCCTCACATCGAGCTCAATTATAACCATTCTTGAAATAGTGACCCTCGTCTCATCAACTGTCTACAACAAACTCAATTGTAGGTTCCACAAGGCCCCAAGGAACTAATCTTCCTAGCCCACGTAGGACGTAGCCTTCTCTTTACTTTCAAACTAAGCAAAAAAAACTAAAATCATCAGTCAAAATATATTATTTTTACGAAAATGTAATATGAAGAAACTCCCAAATAATATGGAAAAATTATTTAATAAATAAATAAATCAGAACAAAAATCTGTCCATTGACTTAAAAAAATCTTGATCAACTGCCACCGCTCCCACCACCGGCTAATGGCGTCTCCGTCGTCGACCACCGCCACCAATATCATGCTGGCGATCTGCGAGAAGAAGACGAACTCGCTCGACATCTACCGGCCACTGCGCAATTTCATCGTCATCAACTACTCCGAGCGCGAGGCGCAGAATCTGGAGGACGATCTCCAGACCCTGAAGCAGCTCCGCTCCGACGTCGAGCGTGGCGTCGATTCGCCGTCGGCTCGGCGGGACCTCCTGCAGAGCTACTATAAAGCCCTCTGCGCGGTGGAGTCCAGATTCCCAATTTCGCCCGACGAGGATCACGTCAATACGGTGTCGTTCACTTGGTTTGACGCGTTTAAGAACAAGCAAAAGGCGACTCAGCAGAATATACACCTAGGTAGGTGCTCCTTGATTGTACTGATTAAGGATAATGTTTGATTAGGGATATGTGGTTTAGCAGCTCACTCCCCAACAAAGGGAAGTGAAAGGAAACCTTGTTGGTAGAGAATGGTTTATGAATCAATTAGTTGCTGAAGGAATGATGGTCGGCAATAATCTTTGCTTGAAATGGTATTTCTTGATATCTTAATTTGATTTTTGTAGAAAAAGCTGCGGTATTGTTTAATTTGGGGGCAGTGCACAGTCAAATGGGATTAGGTTACGACCGATCCTCAGTGGATGGTAGGAGGCAGGCATCACACTCGTTTATAGCAGCAGCTGGAGCATTTGCATTTTTGAGGGATAATGTAGCCATGAAAGCATCAATTGGAAGCTCAACAACGGCAGATGTATCTGTGGAATGTGTGGGTATGTTGGAGAGGCTGATGTTAGCTCAGGCTCAGGAATGTGTATATGAGAATACCATTGCTAAGGGGAGCAGTCCTGGAGTGTGTTCAAAGATTTCGAGACAGGTACTTCCTCTGTGAACTACCTATTTTTCATATTCTCTACTATTATTTACTGTTTATGCATGTTTGTGAATCATGAGCGTTGAGCTTGAAAAAGTAAGTGCCCAACTTTTTTTAGGTGTTAGTGAACTGAAGCAATTGGTTCCAGGTATATAGATGATGAGTACGATTTCTGTCTCTACATTGCATGTTGCCTTCTCATATATCTTAAAGTCTTCTTTGATTCTTTGAACTTTGAATCTCATTGAACTGAGTAACCTCTTATTCTGCTAATGTGGAAGTTATGGTATTTACTTCATTTGGCACACAAGATGAGACCGTATCCAACATATTGCGGAGGAGATTTTGTTTATTTCTGAACTTAACTCAAATCTTACTTATTTTTCGCCATAAATTTTCTTATATCATGCAGCAATAACTTCAATGACTTTCACTGCAGGTTGGGATTTTCTACGAAGAAGCCCTGGAAGCCTTGAGTGTTTCCCCTTTAAACCAGCTTTTCGAGAAGGCCTGGATTGCCCATGTTCAGCTAAAAGCAGCCTTGTTTTATGCAGAGGCCTGCTATAGATACAGTTTAGAGCTACATGATAAAGAAGAAATTGCTGAGGAAATTGCACGCTTGAAAAGTGGTGTTAGTGCCTTGTCTGATGCCAAAAAGTCATCTCCTAGAGGTGCAGCTCAGCAGCTCTTGGATGCAATAAATAAATTGGAAGCTAATATGAATCGTAACCTGGAGAGGGCAGTGAAGGAGAATGACAGAGTTTACCTAATGAGGGTACCTTCGGCCAGTTCTTTACCACCACTTCCCACTTTTTCCATGGTTAAGCCTATGCCAATGAACGAGGTGTTGGATGCTAGCAGGGAAAAAATGTTTGCAAGTCTTGTTCCTGATAATAGTGCGAAAGCGCTTTCTAGGTACACTGAGATGCTAGATGACATCATTAGGACCCAGGCTGAGAAGTTGCAGCAAGGAAGTGAACTAGCACGAGTGAGGCTGAAGGAAATGGATTTGCCTGATTCGATTCTTGCTTTGGAAGGGAACTACTTTTTGCCAACATCTCTAAAAGAAGATGTAGAGGCGGTTCAGATATGTGGGGGGCCTGCTGGTTTGGAAGGTGAGCTTCAGCAGTTGAAAGACTTAAGGAGGGTAAACCATGAGATGCTGGTACAGGTTGAGGAGCAGCTACAGAAAGAGGCAATTGATGACTCACAGTTTAGAAATCAGTTTGGAACTAGGTGGACAAGGCCACAATCAAGTACATTGACAAAAAACTTGCAGGACAGGTTAAATAGGTTTGCCGCAAATCTGAAGCAAGCTTCAGAAAGTGATGCTCGAATTGAGAGATCTGTAAGAGAACATTCAGCACTTATGTCAATCCTTGACGTCCGTCCCGTAAGTCAACATTTTTGGTTAAAATTTATGTCTCCTATTTTTTTTTTTCTTTTATTCAGCTTACCAATGAATTATTGGTTTTACTAATATTCTATCCGGCTGCATTATCCTCAAAACTTTTTGGAATCACCAACTAATGTATTGGCTTTATCAAATGTTACTTCACTGTAAGTCATTGGATGTGACCAAATTTTAGACCTTTTATTTTATAAATGAATTGTCATTCAATGAAAGCAAATTTACAATTTTGGTGTCTGTGACACCGAAATATTTCTTGGAAACTGAATCGTGCTCACCCCTTCACGATGTGATAAAATTAAATAGAATTAGAATTGAAAATAAAACTATATAGTTTATACTGTCAACTTTGATTTACTAAATGATGAAAAACTTCTGCTTTTTTTTTTTTTNGTAAATAGCTTTTAGCTTTGCGATAGTTAGCTATTTACTTCAAACTACATGTTTAGTTCTCAATGGGAAATAAAGTATAATTCTTATGTCATACATTTTTTGCCTCATTATTATAGATCGAGTCTGCCCTGCCAACACTTGCTAAGCCAATTATGTCACTGGATGCCAATGAAGATGCTATTGTAGGAGGCCTGAAGCAAAGCTTGGTAAGTTGGTGAATCATATTTTTAATAGTTCGACTTTTCTTTTCATTGTCGTTCTGTCTGCCCACTCACCATTTTCCTCAATCATGTTATTCCAGTAAATGAGCATAATTTTTCGTGAAATATAACAATAATGATTAATGTGAGATGTGTGCT